GAAATAGACAAATGACTTGACGTGACTATGTTGCCCTTTCCCCCAGCTATATACATTTTTACAAAGCTAGAGAGACATATTGTTTGTAATATTTACTACCGTATACATTATCGACTATTTTTCACTGGAATATTATCAGTTGTAACAACCCTCTTTTTTGCACTACTTTTATAATTTGTTGCAATATTGTAATATGTTTTTTTATCAATAAAATAAAATAAAATTAAAAAAAAAATGTTCTGAGAAAAAAAACAAAAAACAAAACAAAGCAATACCTCACTACCAAGAGACTACCAAGAGAAAAAACTGTTATGGGCTGATCCTAGAGGTTACCTCACTAACGGTATACGACATTTGCTAGTATCGCCTTATTGCTATCTTTCAAGGGTTGAACGCCTCACACGAATTTAGACAGTAACAGTAAACAAGGTGTTTGAACGCCAGTTTCAAAGCAAGGAGTTGAGCCGATTCCAAGGCGATCATAACGCACCAGTGAATTATGTTATTACTTATTAAAACATTTCATTAATGATAGCGACGAAATGGACAAAGAGAAGCTTCAGAGAAGCTTCAGAGGAGCTGATGTGTGTCCTGATCATCACCTTGTGAAAGCATGCGTGAGACGGAAATTCAGAGAAGCAGGGCCCAAGAATCACACATCAAAACTCGATACGACATCAGCAGACTACAGGACCCCATGACTAAGAGCACCTTATGTCCTGCAGTTGAGGAACAGGTTCCAAGCCTTAAGCCACCCAGATGAACCAGAAGATGAGGAAGAGATCCTGTCAATCGAGAGAGGAAACAATTGAGGAAGAACTGTTTGGGGATGCAGAAGGCAAGAATGAGGAAAGAGTGGATAACACCAGCCACATGGCAAGACATCGAGGAGAGGTGCCAGCGGAAGAAGATAAATTACAGCTGGTCAGTCAGACTACAAGAGAAGTACAGGGCAGAGTACTCAGAAGTGAACAGGTGCGTCAAGAGAAAGATCCGAACTGACAAGAGGGCTTATGTTTAAGAGCTGGCAAAACAAGCTCAGAAAGCAGAGCGAAAGGGAGAGCAGAGGAACGTCTATAAAATCACTACTACTGGTCTGTGGGAAATATAGTGGTAGTAGGAATGTCCCCATACAAGACAAGCAGGGGCACATCCCCACCTCCGTGAAAGACCAGGAGGCACGATGGGTTGAACATTTCAAGAAAGTCCTCAACAGATCAGTGCCAGAAGAGGAGCCCGAGATACCAGAGGACCTAAACATTCAAACCGGACCACCAAAGTTCGCAGAGATCATTGCTGCTATCAAGTCCCTGAAGAATCACAAGTCACCCGGCATAGACTACCTCGATGCTGGACTGTTCAAGGCTGACGCTGTGACCACCGCAAGCATTCTGCAGCCACATTTCAACACCATACGGAACAGAAAGTAAATACCTGATGACTGGAATCAAGGCATTATCATCAGGATACAGAAAGAAAGGAGCTCTGTCGGTACGTAACAACTAGCGCCGCGTTACTCTATGATCTATTCCTGTACACTGGTGTGGTGACCTCACGATGAGTGCACTTGCCTCGGGATCGAGCGGTCCGGGTTCAAGTCCTGGCCGGGCACATTATGTTGTGTCCTTGGGCAAGACACTTTACTCTCACAGTGTCTCTCTCCACCCAGGTCTACAAATAGGTAACGGTGAATTTAATGCTGGGGGAGACCCTGCGATTTTTCTAGCATCCCATCCGGGGGGCGGGGAGGGTAGAAATACTCCTAGTCACTTCGTGCTATAGAAATTGGAGATAAGTGCAAGCCTGGGCCACGTGGCTCGTATATAAACGTTTCCTTGCACCGCCACAATGTCTCGCCTCGTCGAGATCACCAGCTTTTACCGCAACTTTGCCTGTTGTGCTGTTGATGGTGACATCCTGTTCAAAGTCAAGACTGGTGCCAGGCAGGGATGTGTTCCACAATGCTCTGCAATCTCATTATAGACTGGCTCATGCGGCGCACCACAGAGGACCAGATGCGGGGAATCAGATGGACCCCTTTCTCTTAGAAGACCTGGATTACCCTGACGATTTAGCGTTACGATCGCAGGCTAACTCGCACATACAAGAGAAGACCCGGCGATTCAATGTCTTTGCAAAGCAAGTGGGCCCAATCATCAGCGGTAAGAAGACTGACGTTATGGCACTGAACACTTCTAACAGATGCCCAGTTCACGTTGAAAACGAAGACCTCCCCTACATGGACAAATTCACCTACCTAAACAGCATCATCAGCAAAGATGGGGAAGCAGACCTGGACATCCAGAGCCACCTCAACAAAACCAGAAGCGCTCTCAACGTGACAAATAAGGTGTGGCGCTCTTCCGCTTACAGTACCTGCACCAAGCAGAAAATATACCACATCTGTGTCGTCCCAACTCTACTGTACGGTTTGGAATGCTGACGATTGGCTGGGAGGGATTTAACAAAGCTATCCACATTTCACACTAAGAGCCTTCGCTGGATTCTGCACATTTTTGGCGCACGCCATCTCAAACAAAGACCTGCTCGAACGGCGTAGAACTAAATCAATGGCTACAATCCTAATGAGAAGGCGCTGCTGGATTGGCCATGTCACCCACCAAAGAAGCCTTGATCACCAAGACTGCCTTACACTTGACACCACAAGGAGATCACTAACGGCGGACGGAGATTAAGCGGATGGAAAGACCTGGAGCAGCATTTTTCACAACTTCCTGCAAAGCCCTAACAACGCGCGAGCCTAGGTTCCAAAGACACCTGTAACCTGCCAATTTATCACAAGAGTCAAGAACTGAAAATCCCATGACAACCCAGGCTCCCAAGTATCATCCTACAAGAATGTGCAATACGTCAACACGGTTGTTGTTTATTTTGTGTGATAAAATTTAATATCTGTTTTTGGGCAGTTCTTTGTCCGGTGTGACAACGGCACTGACCTGTTTTTTAGCTTTTTCCTCCAATTTTGTCAGCTTTTCTTTGGCTTCTTGTACTTCACCCAGCACCTGTTCATAAGAAAAAATACATTATGACATCCAAACTTCAACTTTGGTTTGCGCTAAAATCAAGAGATTTTAATATACATTCTATTACTATTGTACGTACCTTATTGGTATGTTTACTCATTTTCTTTAAAGTGCCTGTCATTATTTCCCACGCATATAACCTAACAAGAAAGACCGAGCGAGAAATAATGAGAAGAGAAATGAAGAAGCAGGTTAAGTTACATAGCCACAATTCGCTCCTTTTTCATTATGATTGTTCTATACCAGAAAATTCTTCGCAGAAAATTTCCAAAAGAGAGGTAGACAGCTCCTACATAGTAGTTTACTGTGTTGGTACTGATGATTCTTATCAGTACAGTTAACAATGTCAACATACTTTGTGAAGTTATCCTTCATGTCCTTGGAAAAAAGCCAGTTGATTACTGCTGAGCAATCAGTGAGTTGCATGCGTACCAGTTTATCTACCAACACCACCATCATCTGTCGACACAAAGCACAACCCCGACTATCCAACTTTGCTTTGTACATTTATTTACAATACTAACCTTACTTACAATACTAACAGTACTAACAACAGCAACAATTCTTACAATACGAATGCTACTTACAGTACTAAAATAAACTACCCAACTTACGACTCAAGCACCGCAGCACACACCATGTTTTCGTATTATACACTAAGGATATGGATTAATTGGACATGGATATGGATTTATTGGTGTTTTTCAACTAATACGGCACAGCCCTCCACTACAACTGAAAAGGAATGATAGAGAAGCAGTGTTCAAATCTTCCTTTCTGCCTCAAAATACCACACCACCTTACGTTCAATGCACTTCAAGGAAGATTGTTTAAAGTTGTGCACAAATGCCATGATTTTTCAAAATTTTCCGATTTTCATGACTCAAAGTGTACAACTGCAGTTTTGAAATTACAAACAAGACAACTTTTAAGGTTCTTAAATAATGTGTTGTTACAACCTTGACAAATTACAAACCTGAGGATTTGTGGACCAAAACTCATTCACAATCTTCAGACAATGTATCTGACTTTCTTCATTCACAACGACATTTTTAAGAAGTTTGTGGAACCTGAAAATTGACGTTGACGCATTAGTCTCAAAGATGAAAAATTACATTCCTGAAACAAGTTCTAACTTATATCTTAAATATCAACTTGTGATATTAGGGCTGGACAGGTAATCTGTGAAGGACATTTTAGATCACAGGCTCCTGTGAGTCAAGTTGTGAATGAACAGGATTGCTACAGTTGGAGTCCTTTTGTATCTGGCGTTTTATGATTGCCTTCCTAATTAAATGATCAGTAGCACCGATTAGAGATGGGTCTCAATGACCCAATCTCTCACACCAAATGACATGGAAAATTAAACTAATTGTGTTTTAATGTAACGAAGAAAGGCATTCGACTTCCAGCGGCCTTAACGACGAATTTGAGTCAGAACAACCCTAGGCTAACAGCACCAATGCGAAAACTCTGTGCTTTATGCTGTAAAGCGTACTACCTGATCTGCAAAACGTAAGAGCTGCGTTAAGACTCCTGTGATTGGAGACCCGTCGAGCAAACGAGTACATAAATCTCATTCCCCTGGCAGCCCCAAACATAATTTCACTATTCTTCAAATATTACGTCACAGGACATCCTTGAGTCTCAGACTAATGTAATACAAGGTATCGTCAGTAATACAGAAACTATTGTCACGTACCTTGTCAGAGCACTGAAAGTATGACTGAACGATTTGGAACCAAGTTTGAGCACAACATGAAGCAAGACCTCCAATCTTAATTGCGGGAAAGTGTGGTCGATCACTGGCACTAAACAGACAGGGAAAGCAGATTTCATAACTCATCCTTCATTACAACACAATTACAGAACTGAACACCTAACAAATTAGAGGTGATAACTTTTTTGGCTTTTTTGTAGGTTTACATGCAGATTTGACGTATCCACGAGTCTGGGCAATGTGCTATAATGAGGCTAATCCAGATCAGAACTGGTGGTTGTGGTTTCTGCAATCCTTCATCATGGAACACCTGAATAACACATTTTTGCTTAGAGCTGAGAATTTAAGTCTTTGAAGCTCTTGCATCAAGAATTGGAAATGGTTTGAACCCTTGATTATAAGTAGTTTATGTAGCGTGATTGTCCAGGAGAGGAACTGTTGATGACGACTGTCAATTAGACAACCTGAACAAAGTCATCATCAGAGTCAAATGAAAAGTGTTTGCCATTCAATGGTGTTATGACTCTGGAATGTTAAAATTGATTGGACAGTAGCCTGCGTAGCAGGCGTTTCCAAAAATGTGCGCAAAAGGAACAAAACTGCTTGCGAGTGCAAAAAATAAGGAGCAGGGGGAGGGGGTGAGGCGAGCTTCTCACCCCAGGTATACTCCTTCGCTCGCTCGCTCGCTCGCTCGTTTGTTCGATCTCTCCGCCTGGAAAAGGAAAGGAAACGTCTGCTTCGCAGGCTTATTGGACAGTTTAGACACAATTGTATTGGCTGTAACACTCGTGTACAGTTTGTGAACAGTGATTCGTCTTTTCTGTCTGTCTGTAAATCAAATTAGCATAGAAACAAAGACACTCACATTCCAAGGCCTACAGTAAAGCTGACTTTTTGATTAAGCCCTCTTTGCCAGACCCCCGCTATAAGCAAATGAAGAGAACAAAACCTTTCACCCATACCATCGGTATTAAAGTCCTCGTGACCAGTTGCATTTGCTGGTATGTTGTTTAAAATGGTCTGAAGTTGATCTACATCTTTCTTAGCTCTGATGGCTTCTAGTAGGTTTTTGGCCACATCTGCTCCTGGTAACTCTCCTAAGAGAAAATTAGAAGCAATACATATGAAATCATGACAGTTGCACTTTCAGTCATGATTTGTTGTTTCTGAAGGACATACCACCATGAAATGTGGGTCATCATGATATTCAGAATATCCAAATTTCTGATAACATATGACTTTCATCAGTCAATCCCAGATATATGCTCATGCACTGATTGTGAGATCACTGGGTGGATGAACCCTCAGAGCTCTGAGAGCCCAGTAAGCCCTGTGAGCCCTGAGAGCCCTGTGAACCCAGTGAGTCCTGTAAGCCCTGTGAACCCAGTGAGCCCTGTGAGCCCAGTGAGCCCTGAGAGCCCTGTGAGTCCAGAGAGCCCAGTGAGTCCAGAGAGCCCTGTGAGCCCAGTGAGCCCTGTGAGCCCAGTAAGCCCAGTGAGCCCTGAGAGCCCAGTGAGCCCTGAGAGCCCAGTGAGCCCTGTGAGCCCTGAGAGCCCTGTGAGCCCAGTGAGCCCAAAGAGCCCTGTGAGCCCAGTGAGCCCAGTGAGCCCTGTGAGCCCAGTGGGCCCAGTGAGCCCAGTGAGCCCTGCCAGCACTGAGATCCCTGAGAGCCCTGTGACCATATGTTGGTGATATACACGTAGCTTAATATCTGACTTGCATACAAATCATTTCGTCCCCACGAGTCTCGCGATTATCCAATGCCTTTTCACACAAGAATGAAATTTAAAGGAATTGCAATGTTCAGATATCCATCACACAGAGGATACCTGAATTTAAGACTGACATTAAGAACCTGCATAAGTATGCATTGAGACGTCAACATTTACAAATGTATGTAAATGTTGTCTGCATGATAAAAATAATGAAGATTGTTGTTCCTCTATGAATTTATCCACTTGGACATCTTTATGATGGTTATTGTGTGCAAGTTATTTCTAACATAAGTGATTCTGTGTTGGCAGTGTGTGGGATTAACACCTGGGTCTTTTGACTCATTCTCAGGTTCTGCATACAGAATGGAATGATGGAACAATAGAGTTATTTGTCAGCCTTGTTTTCTACCATCCCCTGCCCTCATTAACAAATGGGAATGAAAGAGAAACCCATGGTGATGTCATTGATGTGGATTGTGGTCATCATTAATATGGTTCTGGTAACAGACTCTGTAAATTTACAAATGAATGTGGATGTGTGTGAGGTTAGTGCCTATTAGGGTTTCTTAATCCTGCCACTCTGACTGAATATTTCATGCAGTAGTGACTCACTACACTATTTTTGGCACATGGGCTCACATACAAACTAGTGAGACAATCGCAAATAGTGCAGAGTGCAATTGATAGCTCTGGCACAGTAGTCCCATAAGTACTCACCCCTGCTCGGTTCACTTCTGGTTTATATCTACCTTAGTAGTCTGCTACGGCTTTTGCCCTTAGCATTGTGTATGTTTCAAGGTTGTACTTTCATTCAAGGTCCAAAATTTACGTACAATTACTATTGGTGTTTTACGCTGATTTTCGTCCCTTTTGAATTCAATAATACGTTGAAGCAGCAAACGTGACAACTTAGGTCTTCACGCCAACTTTGTAACTTGATACATACATACATANTATTTATTGTTGTTATTATTTATTACCACTGTGCCAGGGATTTCAATCTCTATTTATACATGTAGATGTGCACAATCCAGTGATAATAATGGCTTCGATGCTTTGCTCAATTGTAACTTTTTTGACAGAAAAGCTCGACAATACTGGATGTTACCTTTGTTCTCATCTCATCCACTCACTTCCCAACCTTAGAGAGTGCACAGGCATTAAGATCATCAGATATGATTTCAGTGATCCACAGGCTGGAAAGGACCTCTGTGACAGAAGAATGGCCACAGTGCAGAGCTATTTGCATCGTAACATAAATGAAGGCCATGACATTAAAAGTGCTAGTGATATCCTATGGCGGGTTAAAGGGTGTCAGGCATCAATAATATTGTTAAGACTCAAGAGTCAGGCCAGACCATGAAGCACACAATGTCTGGGATCCTGTTTCTAAATCTTTTTAGCTTCAAGTCTGGAGGTTTGAAAGTGTGGAAGGCTTATGATAGGCGGCCTGGAAAATGTTTCAAACCTGCACATGAGGAATGGATTTGGAAGACCTCAAGGGCCTACAGACTTATGCATAGAGCAGCCTTTAAATGAACTGCAAGAGAGACTGCTACTTTTACAGCCAGGAGTTTGACAAGTGTCAGCTCCAACAGCCTCAGTATAGGCATAGTTATAATTAATAGAAGGGGATTATTATGAAACTCAACAAAGTTCTTTGCTGTATGTTTTTGTTCTCTTTTTTGGCCTTGACCGTGCACAAAACACAATTGTTGCATACTACCGACCGACTAACAGACCAATAGAAACGTTTTGGTTATGTAATTCATGCATAGTATATGAGCGCAAAAATAGATTTTGCATGGTTGTGGACCTTCCAACACAAATCTTGGCATCTTTGTTTGCTCCTTTGATGTTTGCCAGGCTTCATAACCGTTCCCATCTATTAAGTATGGTCTAGGACCTCGCAATCTATCGAAGAAGAGTCCCAAGTTGTCAAAGCTACGAGAATGTATTGCTCCTAACCTGAAGAGGGATTCACAAAAGCATACCAATCTTTTGCAGTCTGCAGAGACAAATGGATACGGGTAAACACCTAATGAAGTTAGAGAGAGAGACGACATAGACAACATCAAGATAAAATGGGTTGAATTCCCAAACGTCCTTTAGTGATCATGATCCACACGAGAAATCTCAATGGGATGGGTCTGAAAACATCACAAAGAGGAACCCGCTTTTCTGAGAAAGTGAACACATCCGAAAAGAACATTCTTGGAAGGTGAGGGGACAGGACGAAAGTGTAGTGGATGAGTGCAGTAAGATGAGACTCTGCAAGACAGTAGTGACAGGACAATGTCCAACAAAGAAGACTAGCTTGCTGCAGACCAAATAGCCCAGTACGTCAGCATGTTGTCTGTAATGTACAGATTGAAGTGGCCAACTAGCCATACATCAGGCTGATCTGAGTCCATCTCAAGATGAAGCAGAAGAGATCTTGACCAGGCTTGCAGTATGAAGACAGTACTACTTGCCAGCTACTTTACCATCCACCACGTAGAATATGCAATAAAGTCTTGTGAAATGAAAAAACAAATCAGTTATTTCACAGCGCCATGGAGCTACGGATATTCACAGGAGGTTACTAAGCAGAAAAGAAAACGATAGCCAAGAGCCACTCAAGCTTCTTGAGTGCCTATAAAAATTAAAAACGTTCAACCAGGCTTAACCTTGCTGAACCTAAGGCACTGGTGCCATGTATGTTGTCATGTGTGCTCGCTTGGACCCTAGGTTTCAGATAATTTCAGCTACTAGATCTTCTTGAGGCTCAATATTTCCTCAGAATTGCAATTTTTTTCAGACATCCTCTTACTCGCAGACATGCAATCATTTACTATGTGTTGTGCTAACATCTTTGAGGTATAACCTTTGTCTGCTAATTCAGTATAGGAACTTTCAGAAGAAAAATGCATTTTCATAAAAGCTAGCTAAAGCTCAATCTTATAGTTCAAGTATTATATACAGCTGTACGTGTTTACCAAGATTTGCTTGCATGCCTGATGCAGCAAAATCAAAACTTCAAGGGTTTTTTGAACTCGGAATGAGGGCAAACAATAATTTCAGAAAAGAGTACTTCTCAGGATTGATGAGTTTGTATGCCGTGTATAAAGTAAGAATTGACTATAATCAATTGCAAGATCAAGCATTTGACCTGTGATGATTGAGCAGGGTTTCAAGAGTAATCTAAAAAGTGAGATATGCTGAGAAAAACTCTCATCTAACCAGTCAATGTTTTAGAATTCAAACATCACGGCTGTTCATTCCCATATTTAGATTGTACAAATAGAATTTAGGTGTTTTGCACTGTTATTTAACCCTTGGACGTACAAGCTAACTCGTATCCCCACTGTGGTGTAAGGGGGAAGTGGATGGAACCTCCTTGAGTTTTTGTTCTGTTAACACACGGCGTACTAAACTTACATTGATTAGATAGCCCTGAGCTTGTCCTACAAAATGATACCTTAATTGTTGGTTGTGATGTCATAATGTCAAATGACGTCATTTGACCCGCCATCGTGGATCTGCCACCTTGGATTTTACTTTTTTCTTAAAAAGTCAAGAAATAAATGGAAATTAATACAAAATCAAGCCAGAATGCTCAGGAAATGTACAGATTGGTGAAGTTCTGGAATTTGATGAAGAAAACTGGAAAAAATACAGAATTATGTCCAAAAAAGTTGATTTTTGGTCAAACCTACTTGAAACTAGTGGTTGCTATGGAAACATAAAAAATGATGGACACAATTGACAAATCAAAATATCAATGAAGGATGAATGAACAGCTAATGAAAGTTTCAGCCCCTTGCGTAAATTGTCTTTTCAAAATTTTGAAAATACCTTGTTGGGGGGATTACATCCACCCCCCTCCCTTGTACGTCCGAGGGTTAAGGGATATTGCAAAGAGTTTTGCATTCATTGAGCTTCCANCCCCCCCCCACCGTGGTACGACCCGTGGTACAAGGGGGAAGTGGATGGAACCCCTTTGGGCTTTCTCTCTGTTTAGGGACAGCAAAATAAATTTATATTAATTAGATAGCCCTGAGTTTGGTCTACAAAATGATACCATGTATGTTGGTTGTGACGTCATATGATGCCAAATGACGTCATTTGACCGCCATCTTGGATCCGCCATCTTGGATTTTACTTTTTTCTTAAAAAGTCAAAAAATAACGGAAACTGATACAAAATCAAGCCAGAATGCTTATTAAATGTACAAATTGGTGAATTTCTGGAATTTGATGAAAACAACTGGAAAAAAATACAGAATTATGTCAAAAAAAGTTGATTTCCGGCCAAACCCACATGAAACTAGCGGTTGCTATGGAAACGTCAAAATGGTGGACACACAATTGACATATCAAAATATTCGTGAAGGATGAATGAACAGCTACTCAAAGTTTCAGCCCCTTAGAGTAAATCGTCTTTTCGAAATTTGGAAAAAACCTTATTGGGGGATGGCATTCATCCCCCCTCCCCCATGCCTTGTACGTCCGAGGGTTAAGGGATATTGCAAAGAGTTTTGCATTCATTGAGCTTCCACTGCCCTAAATAATATTCAAAGACTTTGTTAATGACATTAACATAGAAATAACTTTGACAAACTGATTCTATAATGTCTTTATCTCTTTGTTAAAACTACTCTCTTGTCATGTTGTTTGAACAGTTTTTGTTACCAAAAAATAACAGACGCCAAAAATTTTATTCTTGATTTCATTAGACCAAGGGCGACTCTAAACTGTGGTAAAATTAGTTTTGATTCAGAAAGTTGTATTTAAGTAATATTTGAGTCAGAATTTGAGCTAATTTGCCTTGTAGCTAAATGTTGCGTGACATGGGTAGGAAATGACAATCCTTGATTAGCACCTGTCGCTTCAAATGACTTGAAACTCTTCGTGTAAACTAAGATAGGTCTGATCTATATTTATGTAAAATATCAATACAATTTGATGTATTTTGTAAGCAGGCATGGTGTCTAAATTTGATGTTTATTTTAGTGACATTTTTGGGATTTTGGGCAGAAAACCAGGGGGGGGGGGGNCTGATTCTATAATATCTAATATTTTTAGATTTCGCCCTTGTCTCTTTGTTAAAACTAGTCTCTTGTCACGTTGTTTAAACAGCTTTTGTTACCACAAAATAACAGATGCCAAAAATTTTATTCTTGATTTCATTAGGCCAAGGGTGACTCTAAACTGTGGTTAAATTAGGTTTGATTTAGAAAGTTGGACTTAAGCGATATTTGAGTCAGAATTTGAGCTAATTTGCCTTATAGCTAAATGTTGCGTGACATGGGTAGGAAATGACAATCCTTGATTGGCACCTGTCACGTCAAATAACTTGAAACTCCTGGTGTGAACTAAGATAGGTCCAATCTATATTTGTGTTAAATAGCAATAAAATTCAATGCATTCTGTAAGCAGGAGTGGTGTCTAAATTTGATGCTTATTTTAGTGAAATTTTTGGGATTTTGGTCCAAAAACCAGGGGGGTGGTCTAACTCCTAAGGGAAAAATCCCAAAGCCAGCCCACTTTGTCTTCTAGAGATGTTGGGTAGTACCTTCAATCTGGCAAAGTTTCATCCAAAAAGGAGGGATGGCATGTATCACCCCTGCCTTGTCCTCTGGTAAACTCTGTCTTAACGCACTAGTGTAGTTTGAAAGCATCAGATGACATTTCTTGAACCAAGTTAGGCGTAATTCCAAAAGACTTAGTCACAGTAGCATTCTTGTATCGCGCTAACGATGCTAGAACGCATGCGTATGACTTGTTTGGGTTCTACCACAAGGAAAAGCGCTCAACGTTAGTGTGTGATCTTGTATGAAATGTATCTTCCGTCTGATATGTAGTTGACATTAACACTTACTAATGTGCACATGCGTTTAGAGCAAATATTGGTTTTGCTCCAAAGAGAAAAGTACCACAAGGAGAGCAAGAGGTTTTCTGAAACAAATATATAGCTTTTTGAAGTGACCAAAGAAGCAGTGTAGGAACATATACCACTCATTTTACATAGTGTTCACAAGTACCTTCCCCATCCTACCCCCCCCCCCCCTACCTGCAAGCCTAATTAATTAATCGAAATTAAATAATTAAACAAACATTAACGTTTACACCTTATGGCCATAATGCCTTATTGCCATATTGCCATAGTGCCATAGTGCCTTATTGCCATAGTGCCTTAGCGCCGTAGTGCTTTAGCAGACACCAACCCCAAACCATCCCAATAGTGCACTCTGCACTAAAAAGGAGGTCAACAGAATGCATCAGAAAGTCGAAGCTTGTTCAGTGATTGAATTACTGGGAACTTGAAATCAATACCTTGTTCCTCTGTGAATCTGTAGTTTGGTGCAGGGGCAACAGGAAGGAGGGTATGCAATCCTTCAGGAATGTTCTCAATCAGAAACTGATGGTACGATAATCTGAAGCAATAGAAAACAACAGTTACAAAAATTACTGTTGAGCAATTTACAATGAAAGGGTGAGGACAGATAGCTAGACACCGTAGAAGAAAAGCAACAGTTGAAAAGGTGGATACAAAGGAAATGTGTGTAGTTAGATCAGTACATACAACCAACGCTAGCTGGTATTTACTTCAAACAAAAACCAAAATAAGTTCCAAAGGGGCTACAAAATAAGAAATATTTCTTCAGCTTTCAGTATAAAGTAATTATAAAAAAAGTTTTTTGATAACTACAACATATTTATACGGCACTTTTTCCCATAGTTTAATAGTACTTTAATGCATTTTACAACAGGTAAAAATGAAGAAACATTGGAACAAAATAATGAGGGTAATGTTTTGCAGCATGCAAAGTCTACAGCAGTCAGGGTAAACACTCACAAGGATAATTCAAGTGTCACTTCTGAAAGAGGAGCCATAATTTCTTCCAGCTTTACCTTTCCCATTTGACAATTTCAAAATTCTTTATTTTTAAGCGACCTTTCTGATTCATTTAGTTAATAGTTACCATTTTGTACATGAACGTTGTCATCTATGAATGTGTAAAATAAAAAAACGATCCAAGCAATTAAACAGAAGAGAGAAATGTTATCCTAAAATGCAAAATTGTTGTGTCATCCCCAATCCACATTGCAAAATATACACCTTTTGCTGTTCATTTACAGAAAATATCCATTCATTTGAGTCCAAATTTGTTTCATTATGGTCAATATACTCTCATTAACACCAATATGACCTTCATTTGCACGTAAGCAACGTTCAAGAATAACACTTGCATATGTATTAACATTCAAATTCATCAAAAGATAGACAATACCTTTCTTTGACATTCATTGGCTGTAAATGTATTTTCATTTTTGTCGAAAAAAATTCGTTGTCACGAAATGACAAACATATACACTTTTGGACAATCCTTTTTCAACAAAAGACTTTCAGTAACACAATTTACATGAGCACTCACAATCAATTGCATTGTTATACAACCATATCCATGAAGGTGACAATCTTAAGTGCGGTGAGACAAACATTACAGCCATAATAAGATCTATTTTTAGAAGAGAGAATATCAAATTTGCTGAACAAGTTATCCCTCAATTGCCTCACTATTGAGGCATCGTGGCAAATATGTGTACACGAAACGATACCATTGTCCACATTTAGGCCCTGATTATCCTTTCGCTGTGTTCAAATGCAATTCTATTTCTTCGTGGCATTTGTGGGGAAATTTAACTGTCACTTTATCACATGTATACTGTAGTGCGCCCTCTGAGTTGTACGAAAAAGGTTCGTAAGAGGCTGAATTTATCTCTGCAAGGGGAGGATTGTGAAAATACGATTAAAAAAAGGTACATACAGTCCCTAGTTCCATAATCAAATTTTCGAGGAAAATTGGGCGCGATATCTCTGTTCAAAAGAATTACGCTAATGAGCTGTTGTGTTCTCTTAACGTTAGGTGAAAACACGGTAATGTCTCTCAACGTACTAAAGATTGTCACCTTCACGGATATGGTTGTATAATAATGCAATTGATTGTGAGTGCTCATGCAAATTGTGTTATTGAAAGTTTTTTGTTGAAAAAGGATTGTCCAAAAGTGTAAATGATTGTCGTTTCGTGACGACGAATTTTATTTCGACAAAAATGAAAATACATCTTCAGCCAATGAATGACAAAGGAAGATATTGTTTATCTTTTGATGATTTTGAATGTTAATACCTACGCAAATGTTATTCTTGAACCTTCGTTACGTGCAAATGAATGTCATATTGGTGTAATTGAGAGTATATTAACCATAATGAAACAAATTTGAACACAAGTGAATCGATATTTTCTGTAAATGAACAGCAAAAGGTGTAATAAACTGGCCCTGGTTGTTCGAAAGCCGATTAAAATAACCTGTGGTTAGCAGTTAACCTGCAAAAATTTCTTAATCCCGAGATAACTAATCGAGGGATAAAATGGTGTTACCAAAAACAGATTTAATCTTCGATTAACTATCCGTCAATTAAGCTCAGATTATGCCAGTGAAACCAGTCCCTGGTGGGAGAAAATGGTGTAGTACTAGGGGAGGGCACGGATAATTATGAAGGCTCCTACCAAAGTTATACAAACTTAAACTTGTTGTTGAATAAAAAAAAGAAAAAGAAAGCTTAATTTTTATATCTCAACTATATTTGCTTTCTATAAGAACCACTAAAAATGCTTTAATTAAAATTAGAGTTGTGATAAAAAATCTGTGCAACATAAATGCTGGGCGAAGCTCACTGAATCATGCATCAGCCAGAAAATCAGTGAGCTCTTGAAAACCCTTACTGGTCAAATTTTCAACGTTAATTCTTTATACTTTATAAATTTAGAATAGCCTCCATCCATAGTGGTCTGTCTGTGCTTTGAAAACTCGAAAAAGTGCGGGAAAACAGTACACGGAATGGCTCGTCCGTGAGAGAATAGTAACATCTGTTTTGGAAAAGTCGTCACGTAGACTGAATCGTTTTTCCTTCCTTACTGGGCCCAGCATTAAAGCAAAATCAACAAACTGTAAGTCTGCCATTTTGATTTGTTTGTCAGCTTTTTCATCCAATTAGTGAGTTAATCCACCTCGCTAGGTGTGTTAGATTTAACCCTTAGTTTATTCCTGGGATAGTGCTAATCAAGCTTTGAGGAACAGAAGGATAAATTAACCAAAGGATAAATTTATTTCGTGGATTAGGACAATAGACCACTTTCGATATATTAAAATTCAGCTTGGCAGAGAGGCTTAGAGGACACAAACAAAGGAAATTGAATGACCATGTTTATTCATTTCTTGTTTGTGTCCTCTAGGTCTCACTATCAAGCTGAATTTTAATATATCGAAAATGGCGTATTTAATCATGGGTTAGCGGTAATCGGCTTTCAAACAACCAGGGCCAGCATTTTTGCACACTTTCTTACCTTTTTATCCTTTCAAACAGCTCACTCAAGAAAACACATTTAGCTGAATCCAATCCATCATCAGTGGCAGAAACCCTTCAGAACATTTTAGAGGTAACTGAATGAACTTAAAATTTAATTACCTGACTGTGGCTAGAGTATGAGAAATATCTGAAATTTTTAATGATTAGTGCAAATAAAAGAAAAGAAAATATAGTGACTAAAGTAAAAGACAAAGGTTCACAGAGTATAATCTGCAAATCAACATTCACCTTTACTTCCATTTCAAACACAAGAATCGGAGACTGATTATATATTAATATATTAGTGGGATCAACAGAGTGAGAGCTCTAAATGATGTTTGAGAAGTACACTATCTATATCAGGCAACAATGGAGGTCGAAGCCACATAATTAGGGGTGTTCAGTGAAAATTGTAGTTCAAACATACCATTCATCCCAGCCCCATTTAAACTGAAAGTTGCTGAGGTGATATGACAACCAGTTGACAAACCTGAAAAATGATAATTATTTATGATCTTCATATCATAAACAAAGAGTTCACTGACATAACTGGAAAACCTTAGGCTCTCCAATAAAAAGGCCAGATTTTTAGCCAGGATTTGAAAAGCGAGCTTCCAAAATGTGCTATAGGGCCTGCTCAAATGAAAAATTTATAAGTGGCCTTCCACAGGATGACTGGACACCCATCTGGCTAAAAGCCTGACAAAATGATACTATCCAATTGTCTCTGTCAATAATTATGTCAAATGACAGCAAGGACAACAAAACCTCAGTCAGGTTTTGAGGAGCCTTTACTTCCTTTTATGGAAATGTAACATATGTTTAGGACATACCTTTCAGTGCAAGTTGTGTTCATTGAGTTTAAGCTCTCATACAATAGTTCAGTGGCTTGGGCAACCTGTTGATGCTGAGTCAAGGAAAATGAATAGGCACTTGAATACAAAGTAAAACATTGGTAAGAGCTTAGAGTAGGTTTTTAAACTTTTGGTAAAGATTGTTAAAATATCAACTGAATCTGTATGAATTGAGCATAAATTATAAGACGAATGATTAGGTAAGTGCGTATTTTTCAGTAAAGATGTCTCAGTCATTATTCTATGACTTGCAAGTTACCAGTTCAGGTACACCTAACTATAATTCTAATTATTATATCTCTGAGTTACTACGCACGTTTTGATTGGTTAATTTTAGCAGGCTCTATTCTGCTGTACAGCCGCTAAAATTCAAAAATGTTTTGTCGTGAAAATGTTTCGTGATTTATTGCCAAGTGATCTTAACTTTTATAGCAAGTAAAAGTTTAAAACTTTCTTTTAATTTAAATTGTGTATTAAAATGTGCTAAGGACTTAACAACAATTTCAATTTGACTTGTTTTGCTTTCGATGCGCATCAGAAATCTGAGGCGCTTCTGCGTGAATAGAAATTGTTCCTGAACCCATCAGACACACAGTAGAGATTTAGTAAATATCTTACTAGCCTTGTCTTCTCGGTCCGTACTGTAAGGCACGGATTCTCATTTTCCCCCTCTCAATTTATAGCCCGTGTGTTTCACACTTGAGCCATAAATTGAAGGGGAAAAAACTGGGTCCGCAACTTGCAGTACGGACCTCAAACTTGGTAGTAAGAGGTCTTTATTTTCATTCTAATGAGCAGTTTCTTCGAAACACAGTTTAGGATAGAAAAGAGAGATTAAAAACGACATTTCAGTCTCTCTGAGATCATCTGTAGCCAACATAATCTGCATTGAACGTTCTCACGTCTCAATTTTACTCATAAGTGCAAAAATTTTAATCACTGTCTTTTTTAAACTTGAAAATGATCTCAGAGAGATTGAAAAGTCATTTTTATCTCTAGTTTTTATATTAAAATTATTTTCATTAACATGGAATCTGGATGAGGCAAGGTGCAAGCCTTTCGAACTTCACTTCTTAATGCATCTCGTCAGGACTTTGCTTCTTGATCTAAATTAAACAATCTGTGCTTACCCCAATGTTTGTATTGCATTATGCTAAGCCGTTTTCGTGTGTTTATAAAATTAATTTAGAAAATTACTACATCACTTCAGAAAATCAATCAATCAATCCTTAATTTGTTAGAGCAGGTTTATAATTACAAGATTGAATGAACAATATTGAATTGGCAGCCAAAAGGCTGATATGGACCTGCTTATAAAAGTAAAATAACTAAGATAAATACAAAGGAGTATATTTATTAAAGGAAAGTGTAGACTGAGGTAATCTTGCAGTTTTCTGGTGGATATCAGCCAGTTTCACACCACCAATGGCTGTAGATGCTAATAATTGTGTAAATAAATCTACTTTCCTCATTAAGTAGCACTTAGTCTTACCCGACTATTTTAAGATATTTTATTTTGTGTTTTGTTCACTTCAAAAATTATGCACCAAGGTTCTACGGTACAACATTTTACAGCTATTTAAATCCCTTTTGATTTGTGTCATGCACTTAGTTAGCAAATACTTTACTCCCTCCGATCCAATTTGGATTTCAAACAAATTAGTAACTGAACAATTTTATTTTCTATTTTATTTCTCCAATATCGGGCTCAAACACAAGCCGAGTCTCAATATGTTGGCTTGCGTCAGCAAAGAACTCCCGTATCACTGAAGAACTTCACTCAGCAATGTAGCACTTGAATGAAATAACAAAGAACAAACAAGGCAAAGCAGTGCAGTTAATTTTTAAAATGAAAGGAAGAAAACCAATCATAAACAGCATGACAGAGCGATTTTGAAACAGAAATAACTTACCTTAAACAACTAAAACTAATTTGCAAGGGAAAGCTCTTCAAAATTTACCCAAAACAGGTAAAACGGCTGCAATTACACAGTATGACAACGATACACCAGAAGCAATGGCCGACGAAACAACTCAAAAACAATAACTCACAATTACTAGTACCCAGTCTACCTGTCGGACCATTTGTTCTCCCAGAGGTCTGTCACGTGTCATCTTGCCCTCAAAATGACTGACTGACAATCAAGATCAGCCTCCGACTTTGTGGTCTGTATGCATTATATGCATAAGACCACAAAATAAATAGGTATACAAATAAATGCATAAAAAATTGAAAGCTAGGAATACAATAGAGAAAGAAAGAAAAAGATCATTAAAAAAAGAATAAGAATAAACAACGATGCTAAAAATAACTGAAAAAAAATGGAGAGACACGATTTAAGTGCTATGTACATTATAAATACAGAAAAGGATTTAAATGAATGAGTTAACCTTAATGCGGTAATCAGGATTTTTTTTAAAACAGAACTTCTGAAAAGTGGGAATGGTTTATCTATCAGTCATCCTTAAAAATCTGCTACAAACAGGGAAATGCAGAAATTGGGTATTCAAGGTATTCCAGAGATAAATGATTTTATCACTTACTACACATGTACAAGCACCAATTCGAGGGCATTGAAACAATGGAAGACGGGAAGAATAGCAAAACCAAAACTTGAGCCAATTCCATATGAAACGTATTCAAAACAGTTGGCTTACTTTTTGAATGGCTTGCTTAAATAACAGGCTGCATGCAAACTCTTGGTCTTTTTTTCTTACTTATCATTTTCCTGTAATGTCTATTATAATAGTTTTATTGCTTCAGGTAGGTTCAGAGCCCTCTAACTATTAAAATGGCATATGCGTCATTTGGGAAGGTGACACTAAAAAGGATACAATGCCAGGGATTGAATTTGGTTGTAGTTTGCATAGTTCAATAATTAAAGCACCATAGAATATTTGGGGATGATGTGAGTTTGGAAGTTTGAACATCTCTGAAAAGATCACCTGAAAGATAGAAAAGAAAGAGTGAGTTTAACTATGTATTTCTGCAATGATGAAATGCTACTTTTATAAAAGAAAACATGTACTACCATACATGACGGAACGATTGTGATTAACAGTGGTAAACCAACATACATCAAGATTTGAGAGAGCTAAAATACCATATTTAATGAAATTAAAAGTATAGACCAAAAAATGTCAAGGAGGTCAAAAAGCGGAGGATGAAATCAATTTGCACAACAAAATGGTTATACAACACTGATTTGTTTGGTAACATTCACCTTTGAATCTCCATTGCAGTCTGTGCGTATTAGATGTGTTGGAACTTGGATAGACTGTTCACAGCCTCTCTATTTACGCACATGAAAGACAAAGCGAGTGTGAAGCACGCAGGGGTAGGGGGTGGGGTTTGCAAGCAAAGCCAGCAAGAAGAATAGAGAGACTGTCGACATCTTTGGAAAAAAGTGGACTTATTATGCTCCTACCCCTGTTATTGCCTTGTTACTAACAGCGAAGGTGAGGGGGACGCTTATTCGAGGGGAGGCGCTTATTTGAAATTTTTGCTGATAGGAGGGGCGCTTATGCGAACGGGGCAACAACGTCTTTCGACCAAAGAAGATGAACAGCAGTCTCTTTCTGTTCATCTCTGAGCGAAGAAACATTGAAATTTCTCTTAACAGGATTCTATTTTAAAAACAACCGCTCCATTATGAGTCACGGCACGTGTCAGTGATGACAACTGCTGCAAGCCGCAAAACATGCCTGGACGAAATCATGATTGGCCGTGGTCAAGGTGATGATACTTTTGTCGCCTTTCAACCAATGGGAATGTTCTGTTTCTGGAGAAATGGGGATTTCACTTTTTTCCAAAGATGTCTACAGCCCCTCTAATTTTCTCGGTCCCTACCCCCTACCAAGTCAAGTCTTATGTTTTGGGCTCGTGTCCAGTCTCTCGTGATTCTATCCACGCATTCAACAATCAAATAAAAATACGACAAAATAGAGGGCTGTGAACAGTCTAGAATTTGGAAACAAGAGTTATCAATTGAAAGTAACACGTAAATTGAAAGTAACACACATACAGTTTTCACAAAGATTCCATCCTGCATGAAACAATATTTTGCTTTCATATAAATAGCTCAATGTTAATATCCTTCAACATAATGCAATGTTTGGTTGCATTTTCATTTCATTCACTCAAAATGCACATTGTGTCTGTTTGAGAGAACAAAGTACTAATCACTGAGATTTACAGAAATAGACTTACCTCAATAATGCAGTAATGCATTGGCACTTTAGACTTTCCAGGTAAGTTTAATAGCTGGTTTGCACTAAAAAATAATATTTCAGTTAATCTTAATTATTAATAAATAACTTATATGAAAAAAAAAATACATTTAACAGATGTATATTTGGCAACATCACTCATTCCAGACTTGAAAATGTTGTTAGTAGTAACCTCAGTAATAGAATATTGAAATAACAGATTGGTGCATGGTCACCAGCTAAAAACAGAAAACGTTTAGCTTTTTGGATGCTTACTGCAACTTTCTTCAGCCAAATGAGATGGCATCATGTACATATTACGGCAGCTACGGTATACAACCAATTGGGCCTCTTAACTGTCACGTTTTACAGTAAGAATAGTCAACGTGCAGTTATACTTTGTAACCCATCTCCTTCCTGACAGATCTGTGTGCAGTCTCCTTTAAGCTCTGTGTTGTTACTTTCTACAACAAAACTGTCACTACCCTACCTTATCTTACAACAATGACTACAGGAAATTATACTTTGACCTTTTGTGCATGTGTGAAGGGCAAAGCACCTTGTTCTACAAATATAAGTGCCAAATGAACAGCACAGGTTCGTTTGAAAAAAAAAATACTTGTGCAAAATATACAACATGGTAAGACATAAATTTATTATGTAGTGGATTCTTAATGTCACACTCACCATTCTTTTCTATCCTTAAAATGTGCACGTATTGTTCTCTCGATACCCTCCTCTACTAGGTACCTTTCAATTGCATGGGCTCCTGGCATAGAAGGACCCTAGGAAAAATGAAATCAGAGAATTTGTCTTTGCAATTGGCTGACAAAAATTAAATGTAACATAACCTGTACAACTGAGAGCAGGTAAGCTTTACCAAGTTAGTTTAAAGTATTTGACATTTGTATTCATGTTGTAATGAGAAACATTTCTGGACAAACCCTTACACATGGATGGAAGGAAGCAGTTAAGTGCCCATTAACCGATCTTTTCGAGCCGTTGCTAAGGAAAATTTATTCTCATATAACCTCATCATTTTTAGTTAGTTCAGAGTTATTTCATGTGTTTTAANCTTTTTCATGATCAGTAACACTAGTGATGACGTCATCAGGCCACGCCCATGGTCATGTGACTAATACAGAAAAAAATGAAAAGGCTCCCAGGCAAATTACTTTATCGGGATTTTTCTCATTGATTTAATATTTTAAGTTAAATCCTCATTACGCTATGCATCGATTTTGTTTCATTTCTAAAAGGTCAGATTTTGAAAGCATTTCAAAATATTGAAAAATTCGTAATTCTCTGAAAAAAGCATGATTTCGAAAAAGGAATGCATAGCTWTGTTKCCAACATTGGCTTTAATCGAAATTCGTCGAAAAAGGCTGGATTTAATGAAAAACCGCGTTTCCTTTAGCATTTAAAGAAACCGGAAGTGCGCCCAATAGATATTGGAAGTTACCCTATCAGCGTGTGCGCAATTTACACTACCAGCGCACTTCGGTAAGATCAGACAAAGCCACACGGAGCTAGTTTTTCTCTTTCTGTTGCTCTTGTTTATCTCTCTTTCTCTCTTTGTCTTTGCTTGTACTTTTTTTTTTGCTTTGTATTTTGAGAAACACAAAGAAAAACTTCTAAAATGTAAGCAAATTTGCAAGTTTTTGAGTTGTTATTATTTTCCGCGCTCAGGCTGACGTAAGTAACCGGAAGTGAAATGTCACCTCCTTAGCAACGCGTGCGAGTGCACGCATGAATCGGTTAATGGGCCCTTAAGATGTGGAGTGAACAATTCCTGCACATAAGAAGCTACATAAGAATTTGGATTACCACTACATGTGGCAATAACTATTTCATCCAGTGTGATCATCTGGGTGAGCGCTACAGTTCTGAAAAGAGCTGTTGCTGGTGACTGACTTTCTAACAGTCCGAGTGGAAGTCATCTTCAGAGTCAAGTTTCCATTTATGGACAAGCAGACACCTCCAATACTGACAGGTACACAAGAAGCGGCATAGACTTGCACAAGTAGCCGAAGCTAGTAAACATTTCCAATAAATTAAACCAAGGGTTGTTTCAAACCATCTTCAAGCACAAATATATTGCTTTAACTGTACAACAAGTGCTTTGAGTGATCTGGTAATGCAGGTTCTAGTATTCATTTATATTTTATGCAATTTTCGCGAGTTAATATTCAAATCACCCTGCACAATACAACCCCTACTACTGCAATACTTTTTCTTTGAAAAATAAAACAAACAAACAAACAGTACCTTGATCTACAGTACATGAACTTACCTCGGGTACATCAGTGTAATCAAACATTCTATAAACTACTTTTGGAAGAGGGTATACAATGCCATCTTTTAGTACTGGAAGCATGAATGATGGAAGGGTATGCTAAGAAGGAAATACAAAACAATTACTATTGATGGGATTAGATTCAGCTCCTACTCTAGCTATTCTACCAAACAAAGATGAAGAAATCCTGGTAGGTATAAAATAAGAATGTCTAAATCAACAACATATTGGAATATGCCTTCTCAAACTTATTGATAATTCATCAAGTTAAAACAAAGAAAATCACAACCGTGAAGGTGGTGTGGTACCTGGTTTTAATTTGCATAGATTTTGACAATTTTACTTCTCTGTTTACTCCTTAGTTTTTGTTTCGATTGAGAAGATATATCAAACACTCAAGACAGTGTTTATCGGCTATCCAAACACCACAAGAGGATTTTACTATGCATGTACATTCAAAGAATAAAGAAAACACCTGCAAAGCATCTCCAAGAACATCATCAAATGCAAGATAAGGCCTCCTGATATGTTTTTCCTGTACAAAATAACATAAATTAGTTAAGTCCATTTTCATAAATGGTGGTCGCCAATTATAAACTCTTTAGTAAGTATTAAAATTAGCCTTACTAACCTAATTTATGAGTTGATAATTCAAAAGAATTTTTACTTTAGTGAGACTAACTAAATGCAAACAAATGAATTTTTAATTGACAGCCACTTAAGGGTCTATAAAGTCATTAAGTTTCAGATCATAAGGCTCAACAGTGGCTGGCCACAGAATGAGCACTGATGTTGAAGCAAATCCCTCCATACACCTCAAACCAACAGGAATCTCTTCAATTCACAGCTTAGGTTTCTCTGGAGTGGATGGCAACACTAACTAGCCACAAGTATAGTTGACACTACAGCTGCCCCTGTTGTACAATTATGGTTTGCTTCATTTTCTCATATATGATTCTCTTGTTATTGATTTCTTTGTTTTAATAGTGATTTTAGCTTTCTCAAATGTGGTTATTTCATCACCTACATAGGTGAGAAAATTTAAAACATGAGCAGTAAGCTAAGCATACCACCCATGTTTTAAATTTTACCCGCTAGGTGAGAAAAACAACTCCTTGAGCACGTCAAAAAGATCACTGTTCGATAGTTCAAACAGTTTGCTCCCTAAACCTTATTTAGTCAGGTATAATCTGAAATTATGAGATAACACAATTTACCTTGGGAGGAATTATTTAAAGCAAGTAATTTAAACAGTAAAAGTCTTTCCATTTCGATTTCTTGAAGCATTTCTAAGCAACTCTGTGGCTCTTCCTTATTTTACACCATAGCAAAGCCATCTTTGAATATGGGTGGTTATTGTCGATTTCTTTCAATCAATAACAGTCATTATTATATCTCTCAGTTAGTACGCACGTTGTGATTGGTCAATTTAGTGGGCCGTATTCTCCTGTATGGCCTGCTAAAATTTATGGTTGTTTTTGTTGCCAAACTGTTCCGTGATTTATCACCAAGTGTTCTTAACTTTTATAGCAAGTAAAAGTTTAAAACTTTCTTTTACTCTAAATTGTGTATTAAAGCATGCTAACGACTTAAAAACTATTTCAAATTGGCTTGTTTTGCTTTTGATGTGTGTCAGAAATTTGAAGCCATTACGTGTGAATAGAAATCATTCACAAACGTGCGTCAGGCACACAGTAGAGATATAATAAAAATCTTACTAACCTTGTCTTCTCAGTTTGTACTTTAAGTTACAGATCCTCATTTTTTCCCCCTTCGATTTATGCTCCACATGCTTTGCGCTTGGGCCATAAATTGATGGGGGTAAAACCTCGGTCTGTAACTTACAGTACGGACCTCAAACTCAGTTAGTAAGAGGTATATATCCCCGATGACTGCAGGGATTACTGACTGTTATTGATTTTTGCCATTAATAGCAATCAATAAAGAAATTGTTCTGTGAGTTAGATTGCTTTCGTTTGCAGATATAAATCACTAGCAATTAGCAATTGATATCGATTGAATCAATTGATTTCCGATATCTATTGATTTTAATTGATTGACTACACTTGGTATCATTGGTATTTCTGCTTGCAATTGATTGTGTCACTGCATAATAAATTCATAAATGAAATAAGCCTGAGCAAGTTTTTAGGGCGATAGGCGCACTGCACAGATCTAGAAATTCAAGCGCAAAATATCTATTCATGTTTGTGGGGGTTTCAGCCTCCACTATGCTACCGTTGGCAGAATTTATTTTTCTACGTGTAGCGTATTGCAAGATCTTCTAGGAGGAATTGAGCAGGCTTATATGACATGAGCGTTTGATATGGTGGCCATTGCTGTTTTGAGTACATGTAATATTTTTCCACAGCTTACCGTCGCGAGTTGGTTGCAGTTTTCAAGGTAAGTTGTTTTCCATTTCTAAATTGCTTTGCCTCGTTTTTGTTATATATTATCTTTCTTCCCGCACTGCCCTCGAGAACTGTGTACTGTTTGTTATTTCACTTAGATCTTTGTGAGAAAATTCCTTCGGCGATACAAGATTTGCTTTCCTCACACAAGCCATTAACTTATCCAGACTCAGCTCATGGGTGGATTGCACGGGAGATGTATTCGCTTTCGCAAGCACTCACCTTCTTTACCCAAACGATTGTCAGTTATCGTATACATGTTCTTGTACTGTGCAGTCATTTTAAGCAGCTGTGAATGCAGTCAAACTGCTGAACTTACATGTACTGGAGCTGTTTGTTAACTACATGACAATATTAACTGCGAGTATGGGGACATCAATTGAACAATACCGGTCAAGGAAGCGAAGGATGCCTTATCACATGTTCAATGGGGATGGATTTTTACCAAGTTTTATTTAAATGTATTTTATTTGACAACATTGAAACAAATTCTGGACATGTACAGAAATTATGGGCTACATTTTGTTTACATCCCATTACTTGTAAGGGGAAGTGAATGATGTGGAGAACAATCTAGGCCCTGCAGTAGTTAATAACAATAATCCAACAACTACTGTGTCTGCTGGCCACAAGTCAAGGAACTGGCAGAAGCACACTTTGGTGAACGGTGGTAAGCAGCGTGTTGCAAATTATGTTCACTTGATTATTGTTAAAATTTACAATCAAATAGAAGACACTACTCAGAATATGCTTATTGGATCAAGCCTATACAGTTCTACAAGATATTAATTCTGTACAAAAAAATGTGTATTTGCCTTTAACTGTTACAATGAGGTTAGCAAATATTCCAGGAATAGTTTCAGTTTTTGCCAGAATGTACATTCAATGCAGCGTAATGCAATTTAATACATTGTTCATTATTTTTACTCTTGACATCAAACAATGCCCAATATGTGTCTCCTAAAAATTCACTTGCAGAAGCATTTTCAAATAATTTTCTCAAACTCATCAATAACCCCTCAAGTTTAAACAATGTAAATCATAAATGTGGTGGTGTTTGGATATCTGATCTTATTTGGCATAGATGTTATAATTTTAAGTCACCTTTTTCTCCTTAGTTTTAGTTTCATTTGAGAAGATGGGTGTACTTGTGTATTATAGTGTGTCAAACNGGATATCTGATCTTATTTGGCATAGATGTTATAATTTTAAGTCACCTTTTTCTCCTTAGTTTTAGTTTCATTTGAGAAGATGGGTGTACTTGTGTATTATAGTGTGTCAAACACCAGAGACCACATTCCATCACATTTCCAACACCTCAAATTTTGTCAAAAATTCTCAGCTGTGTGTGATTTTTTAAACACTCTTCTCCATAATTGGAAATGTGGTTAAACATGGTCTTTCATGCTTGATGTATTACATCATTGTTACTACAATTGTTGTTTGTTACAGTTTTAAAGACATCAGAGCACAGCTTTGACATATTTTTAATTTAACTTTGCGGATTTGCATGGGATACTCCTTTCATTTGGGAGATACACTTTGGTCAGCAATGAAGAGCTTAAAAACCTATTATATTTGCAATTGTCTTGCTCACAAACATGGACTGGTCTTTTCAAAATGAAAGGTGTACTGCACATGTCTTGATTTGTGGTTGTCAAGCTGATATGCAACAAGTTCAACATGACCAGGAATGTGATTACAGTGAATGAATGTGTGTACAAGAAATTCTCCCAAAAGAGCTGATAACAGTTGCACTGTGTTCTTCAAATAACATTTAATTAATTAACCTCCCACTGTGAATAGCATGATAAAAAATATGTTATTATCTTTTTGTACTTTAAAACAGATCCAACCAATCAAAGAAGTATTGGGTTTGACAAAACAATTATAACACCTACAATGAGACACATCTGTACCAGGTCATGGGAGCATGAAAACCTAGTAAACCAGAGTGAAGCACACTGAGCAATGTGGAACACTCCTTTAGCCAAAATTTTGATGTTTGTCATGTAGCATTCGACTTTTTATCAAGTTCCAGCTGATAAACCTGTACTGTATATTTTTCACGTGAGTCGTTGGAAGCTCTATTACACAACTCTTTACACAACTGTATGCTAACAGCCACTTGAAGATTAATATTGCATCCAGAAACAAACATGGATGCACTCTTTTATCCAGAAGGATCTACATGTGTCAAAAGAAGCATACAAACTGTATGAACAATATGCTTTTTTTATATTTTTTTACTGCATTTACAGTAACATTTTATCACATTTTGCATCATCTTAAAGCTTGCAATCAACAAAAGAACCTACATCCTGTATGCAAATTGATTATTCTTATTTCATGTGACAACATTTCTTTGCAGTCATGACAAAACGTATTGAGAACTTCAGTGGAAATTATCGACACCATTGACAAGGTGTCTATTTGGGACCAACTGTTGAATTCTCAGTTGCTGACTTTATTATGTAACTGGCTTAAATATAGAGGCAAACCCTCTTGACAGTACATGTACAAGTTAATTTGATATCTGTAAACAGTCTTCAATACAATTAATAACACCTCACCTATGTTGATACCTAATAATCAATATTACCTTATTTATTTAAATTTATACCTTTATCTTTCTAAGTGATGGCCTATTCACTTGCAGTACATTAACTCCTGAACGCTGACATTTAACTGAATGGAGTAAAAGAAAATCTAAGCCCTTACAAGTACGCTTTGTGGACCTATTATTTTTTTACTTGGCATTGCCATCATCACAACAGAAACCCACTCAAATCAACAAATTTCCCTGCCACAATCTGGCTCAAAAGTTTTGTTACTACTGGTAAAATACAAGGGCTGATAACAACTGGTTGATGAAATTCAAGCACTGCCAGAGCCTGCAAAGAAACACTGTTCAGCCAGATGAGAAAGGAACAAAGCAGGAGAAGGTATTGGAGTCAAAAAGAATGTTTCTCACCATCATCTCAAACACATAGAAATCTCCAGAGAATGCAAATAATAATACAATGGCAAAGTTCTGAAGAAAGTCCTAATGATATTGTTTGAGTGAAGTTCACTTGAAATAAATTTTGCCTTAATGTTTAGCTCAAGACTAACTTTGCCTAAATAGTACTTAAATCAATATAAAGTTTGCCTGCATAATATTTAGCCAAACATTGCAAACATTTGTTTGTTATTTCTGTCTTCTAACCCACTTTTAAAGCCTGCCACCTACCTGCCAATTGTCAGATTTCAGTTTCTTGATTTGTGCCCACAGGCAGTCCATATACTGTTCAAGTAAAACAAATGAAAGTATGAAATATAATAAATACTATGACTGCAGCAAAATCTAGTGATGAAATACTTGTTGGACCTCACAACACTTAGAGTTTAGCTACGTTTTGTTTGGCATCTGTGTGAGCATTCTATAATGTGAGAGGGGATGTTCTTTGCGGCCTGACAATAAAAGTACTGTTTATACATTTGTTAGTTTTTAATTGCATCTTTCCTTGTATATATGTGTGTGGTAATTTGCAATATATAGAATATAAGTATTCTTATCCAATATTTTTCTGTGCATTAACTTGTTCATTAATTTTCTTCACAGAATTTCTGTGCACTTCACATTTTCACCTTACTTTTAGTAGAGCTTGCTAACCCAAATAGCAACCAGTAAAGACAACAAACCTCCTCTTGAGGGTGAGGCTCATCTTTTGACCACACTCGGAGCGAAGGAATGTGAGTCTTGTGTCTATAACTGACAAAAAATAATAATAAGTACGTTGGCCCTGACAAAAGGCTAAATTAAATACCTGTTACAGGTTTTAGTGGATTCTCAATCTTCTGATATGTGTGGCAAATTTACCGATAGAGTGCTCCAGGTTCAAACCCTGGCCATAGTCATGGTATTGTGTTCTTGACAGACAGTTAAGGCAATCACTAAGAAAAACATTTATATGGTACCTTATGTATTGCTCAATAGTTGTTAACAGCTGTTCAAATTCCTGTCCCTTCTTCTCTGAAAGTTCCTTGCCAGCCTATAACAACAAAGCGCTTTGTTAGTGGATTACAAGAAGACAAATTTTTAACAATCCCAATATTCTCTATTCATACTGAACACCTTCATGGATCAATAGGTTGCTCAATTCCAAAATAAACAAGGACTGCAGTGTAGCTGACCACTAAATAAAATCAAAGCAAAAGCCAGTCAGAATACAATAAATTCTCAGGTTTACCTCTTGACAAAAGTGATGAAGATCGTCGAATATTTTATTTGTCTAGTTTAATATAAATTCCAAAAGCCTCCAAGAATTTGGAATCTGCATCTGCTGGTTGACATTGTGCAGTTTGATAGGTCGTACTTGACCGAACAAATCATGGAGTTTACAAATGGGAAGGCAGGTAATTCAGTTCAGCAAACATTGTCAGTTAAATTAATCTACGTTCCATATTACTGTGTGTCTGTTCAGTAGTTGACCACAGATGACGTTAAAAACTGGTAAGAACAAAGAAAGGTTGCACATGAGCTGTTAGGCCAGTGTGTCACTGATGTTCTAACCAGAGTCATTTTGACATCTTCTATGATCTATTACTGAACAGATGCAAGACAACATGAAATCTACTTGACTGATTTATATAACAAAGATACAAAAAAATTGTTAATGATGTCATCTGTGCATCTGTCCTCCAATTGATCATAAGTACATGTAAGAACCAATCAAAATGAGACAGAATTTGACTTTTAATATATAATTTGCATTTGAAGGCTCACATGCACTAACCAATAGATCAAAGCTTTCAAACAATCTATTATTTCTTCTGATTCAACCTTTACCCGTGAACTGCAATTAAAGCAAGTTATGAGTTGTATTGATTATGGAATTGATATGCAATGAGGTGCCGCTCCATCAACTGTAAAGTTTTTAAGGTACCAGTAATTCTGCTGACTAGTAAATAAAGCTTGTGAAATCACTGTCATTAGACAGTCAATATTGCAGGCACATACATGTACATCATGTCATATTTCTAGGTCCAAGTATAATGTCACTGCAATTGTTGCACCAAAAAAAATTGTTTTGTTTGCTTTCTGGTTAAAGTCCATATGACATTTCTATGACAATTCTAATGTTAAGTAAACTCCTAATTAAAAAAGAACAAATATGCAGTACACCTTGGGGATGTTTTTGTCCTTATATTATTAATCATCATGGGTTAAGTGGCAAGCAAATATTGACTTTTGTAATATGCATTGGGAACCTACCTAGGCCTTATGTTATAATCATCGTTGGATAAGTGGCAGTGCATTTGTTACCTATTTTAACTGTTTGGAGTTCAGTGCTAGGGCTGATAATCATGATCTATTTAAACTATTTGTACTGTCAAGACTGATACTTGTAAACTGTAAAGTTATTTGATGTCAAACAATACATTTACAAATAGCTGATACAGAGATGTCCTTATCTTTGAATGGTTTTAGGGGGCAATGTTTTTGTGCATCAGGCTGGCCTTATCAACAGAAAAGTCCAAGCTAAAGGTACAAATCTTGAGGCACTCCAAACAAATTTTGATGACATTGTTTGGGAAACAGCTTGAAATTGCTATTGAAAATTTCTGCTCTTTTGAACATACAGAGATGTTATTATCTTTGAGAAGTTTTTGTGGGGGATCAGAAAAGTCCAAATTTAAGGTAAAAATCTCAAGGAATTCTAACCCAAATTTGACGACATTTTTCACGAGACAAGGTGACATTGCTGGAAGGTCCTTTTGTAAATTTCCATTCCAAAGTCAAAAATCAACAAGAAGCAGTCCTCACTACATATCAATGGTACTATTGCGCAGTGGAGGGTTGAGCTCCTGAAATATTAAATTTCAGAAACCAAACCAAACAGTTTTGTTGAGGCCACCATAGCAGTTGTCAAAAAAATCTGCTATGGCACTACAAGACTCTAAAGCACTTGCAAGCCTCTAAAGCACTTGATTGTGCCAGATTATAAGTTTCAAGTGCGTGGAACCCACCACGAGGAAATCCTGATTTCAAGAAGACAAACTCTTCATTGTTGTTAACATATTGCATTGGAAGAAGAAACCCACAAAGTGGGAGAGAGAAGAACTTCACAAACAGAAATCCAATCCAAGCATTTTGCTCACAGACAATAATCTGGGGGCCTGTTCAAGCTGAATGTACACTTTGACACTTGTATGATGAGCTAACATAGTGCAAAGTCACAAAACAAGACTGGTATGATAAATACATTATTGTTATTAGCTCTCGTGAAAACTATAAATGTCTATTTATAGTAGATCTAATTACCGCAAAAACCTTATGGGACACCGTGCTCTCACAAGCCTCTAGCACTTTAGATAACTGCAGATTATAAGTTTCGCAGACAATTTTCCTGCAAATTGGGTTCAATCTGAGACACTACCACCCTTGCATGATAAACTGGACTGGTATGAGAACTAATTGCCCCCACGTGTAAACATACAGGGAATTTCAAAAACATAAGAAATGTGTTGGTAGTATGGGAAGTTTTCTCAATGTTACTAAACTAGGCATGCACGGTGGTCTCCGGTCGCCATCTTCTAGCAGCATTTCAAGGTTCTTGTAACTACGAGTACACGTTTCGCCATCTTCAAGCAACATTTCAAGGTCTCCCAACCACAAGTTCACATTTTGCCACCTTCAAGCAGCAGTTCAAGGTCAAAATACAGTCCATTACCATATGGCAGCAAGACAATTTTAGCGTGATCAAGTAAATTCACTTTGAAATTGCCGAGATTCTCATCTAGGACAAATTGAGAAAGATTTCAAAGATCCTGAAGATGGATTTTGGGAGAAAAACAACTCAGAAGGTATTGTAAGAAATTCTGAAATATACTAGAAATTCGAGGCCAGTGTGGTTCAATTGCAACTAAATAGCTAAATACCCTTCCGATCGTCAGTTTTACCTTTGGCATCTCGTTTATTCAGATCACTTATTTGAATTGAGTAATCCTATATGGTGTAGAGCTCATGTTTAGGCTGGGTGACTTTGCAGGGATCCAAATGTAAATGTAAATGTTTTGCAGCATTTTCGTTGAGGTCAAAAAGCTTGACTCTAATTTGCATACACGGTGACTGTAATGCAATACTTCTGTTTGCGTCTCGGGAAAAAAAATTGACTTCCGTTCTGCTTTTGAGATACTTTGCTTGTATATCAAGACAAATGGTTTGTTTCAGCATCAAATTGGAACAGCAGAGTAACTTGACTTAATTTTTTGTTTTGCTATAATTTTTTAACCTTTTTGCCCTATAAATTTAAAGTTCTAATACGTGAAATTTTTGTGAAAGAAATATTAGTTTCCATGAAGGCAACCTATTTTTTTTTCCAGAAAGTACTTTTTGCGTCCTTTCTAATGAGATCTGGTAAACTGCTCTGCTGTAAATGGTTCATGAGAGTATTATGTAAAGAATATCATGTGATAGAATGAGTTAAACAGAATGTGTTGGTTTATTAGTTGATTGTTTGGATCATATTCATGGTAAGATGCTTAAGTTACTTGAACAGTATAAGTGATATAGTTTACAAAAAAAATTTTTAGTTCATACAAAAATGTTCAATATCTTTGTTTTCAGAAAAAAAAAAACTTTTGTCTACTTGCCAGCCTCTTATGATTTTGATAACCGCAGATTATACTTCTCAACGCAGCTGGAATTTTCCTCGCAAACAAAGCTTGGTTACGTACATACTTTGATGAGCATTCATATTTAAAATTCAAAGTATACTTCAAGTGATAGAGTCATTCATAGGCTGCCCTGTATTTGCTACCCTTGCAGACCATCACTTAAGTTATTACATGTTCAGTGTTTTCTTGTGAAAAGAGTAATTCCATATAATTTACGCAAAGATTAGCTCGTATCAATCAACATTCCACTGCAAAATTTACGAGTTTGCTCATAGAACACTTTGATTATACTTTTCCATGGTTTTGTTAAAAGCTACCCAAGTACAATATATATTTTCTTAAAGACACCCCTGAAGGCCTGTCTGCAGCAACCTCAAATCAATATTCAAGGTACAAGAAGCTGAAAAAAAAATCTCCAAAAAATATGAAGTGCCCATTCAACAACAATGTAATGTAAATGGATAGAAATCTTACCCAGGGCAATGAGGATAGTACCATGTATACAAACCAGTCAGATCGAACCTGAAACGCAGGAAAGAAGTTGTGAATCTGTGAACAGTGAAATTAATATATAGTCATTATCATCAGTAAATGTGGAGACATAGTGGCCTAATGGTTTGTACACTTCACTTGAATCAAAGCCCTGGCCAGGGTTAGTGTTAAAAAAAATGTTAAGACAATTTACCACATAGATGTATAAATGGGTACCAGCAGGTTTAATGCTGTGGAGTAACCAACCCAGGGGCTAAAGGAAATACTTCCGGTCACTTGCTACAGTGCAGACTTTAATCATCAATAAATATGCACAGCAATGAGACCACTTTGCATCGACAAAATCTGTCACTTTAAAACATGCAATATTATGGCACATTTAGTGAGTTGAAAAATATTCTTCCTGCTCTCTTATTCAATATCTTGGAAACGCGCAGAGAAAAACTGCTTGTCATTTAAAACATCAACTAGGCATGCCTCTCTTTGTCACATTAAAAACACTTAGACCTCCAAAAGTAATGACTACCTGTGTTGTGTTTTCCTCCAAGGTAGCAGCCAAAAGCTTGTCATAAAACTCTAAAAGTGCAATAGGCATGAGAACACGACAGTTCACCAGATCAGCAAGAAACCGCACCTACCAAATAAAAGTTACATGCACGTTAAACAGAGAGCTGCATTTACTGTCAGTGTTAAAGTGCTACTGTGATGAAATTTGCATCTTTCCAATCTAAGCCATTTTAAAGCATAAACTAGTTGGATCATGCGTACTAAAGGCATCTGCGGTCGAGTGTCAGTCAATACCCTCGATCAATACCCTCAATCAACATAGCAATCAATACTCGGTCGACACTCAATTGGCACTTGACGAAAGATCCCGTCCCAAAAGATCAAGCACATGGTGTAATCTATTCCATTCAAGGCAAAGATTGCAACAAACACTACATCGAGGAGACCAAACAGAAATTCAATACTCAGCTCAGGGAACACCAAAAAGCAGTCAAACAAAAAAATCCCAAGAAATCCACACTCGCAGAGCATTGTTTACAATCTGGTCATGCTATCTCATAGCAATCGTCTACAATATTACATTCCAGCACAAGTTGGCGAAACCAACGCCTCTTGGGAGGTTTAAGAAATTAACACATGCAAAAGTCCACTCAACTGCGATGATGGCATGTACCTGAACCAAGAGTACACAGCCTTG